TGAATTAACTCCTGCCAGGCCATTGATAACAGCATTTCCTCTTTAAAATTTATGCATGTGTTGGTGGTGGAGGATATAAATATGTGCATGGCCTCTAGCCATTTGAGGTGTTCAATAGGAGGCGAATCGTGGAGGAGAATGGCCTGGGAGAAGTTCGCTACTATATCTGGATCGGTTACATACATAGCGAGGGTCGTGAAAGTTCTTCCGTGGCGAATATCGGCTATATGCTCTTGTATTCTGACTCCCAAGGATTGTTTAGTGGAGCCTATGTAAATGAGGTTCCTATCGCACCTGTTGTCCTTCACGGGGATACTATAGATGCCAGGGTGTCTGATGGGGTTGGGAGGGTCCTTTCCATTACGTAAGAGGTTGAAAATGGTGGGACACCTCCTAAATGCTAGACGTAGCTGACATTTGGTGGCAAGCTTTGCGTATAGAGATTTTAAGTACGGATTGTATGTGATGGCGATACGTTCTATTTCTTCAAGACGGCTGTCCTCAACTTGGTCCGATTCCTGTGCATTCCCCGAATATATACGTTGCTGATGTTGTATTAGCCTATGTATATGTTTGTGATACCCGGGTTGGGCAGCAACATGGCGTATGTAGGCTAGTTCAGTATCCCGAGCCTGGATGTTGGATGAATGTGTAAAGGCTCTTCTGATTAATGCTCTAAAGGCTGCAGTCTTGTATGAGCTCGGATCACAGGAGCCGGTCGGAATATATGATGATGTGTACCCGGGTTTATGATATATCGACGTATTGATTCCCGAGCTATCGACCTTAATGCTTATATCCAGAAAATGTACTTCTGATGGGCTAGATTGCTCTATTTCGTGAGTCAACCCATATGGGTTATTGTTGAAGGAATCGACAAAGGTTGTTGCGTCTGGCATTGTTTTCCAGACAATGATGATGTCATATATATACCTCCTATATAATTGGATGTTGTGGAGGTATTGAGGGATGACCTTGTTTTCTAATTGGCATACCACCATTTCACACAGGTCCCCAGAGACCGGGCTGCCCATGGGGACCCCTTTACTCTGTGTGTAAATCTTGCCGTTAAATTGGAATATTGAATTATAACAAATTAGGTGCAAATTGTAGTACTTGGTTGTGTAAAGCTCGGGCCCCGACAATACGAAATAAGATGTCTCTGAGTGCACAGAACGTTGGAGGGAGCTCAATGGAGGGGTAGAGGGACTTAAAGTCCAACACAGTGAAGTAACAGGGTGAAGTGACATTTTTCAACTGTGCTATAAGCTCCATTGAGCTAGAGATGGTGTACAGGTAACCCTCCAAGTGTGGGGTAAGAATGGTGTGGATGGCTTTCTCTAGCTTACAAGTAGGCGCCCTAGCTTTATCCACCACCGGGCGGAGCTGTTGGCCTGTTTTATGCGTCTTTGCAAAGGCGAACAATTTCGGGATGTCGAGGGAGTCAACGGCCACGTTAACAAGCTCTAAGCGTTTAGCTAGATTGGTGTGAGTGAAACGCTAGACTCTGGAATGAAGCTTGTCGATAAAACTTTTTTCCACTCTCTCACATTGGGTGAGTGAAATGTATTCCTGTAGACCCCTTTCATAGGTGTCGCGTTTCATGAGAACTATGGTATTGGTTTTATCAGCCCTGACAAGAGTGATGTTATTTAGTTTCATCCATTTGATCGTACGTCAAAGTTAGATAGTTAGATAGTATAGAATAGAATAATTAGATAGTATAGTATAGTATAGTTAGATAGTATACCAATAGCTTAGATTGGAATCCTGATACGAGGTTATATGGATGGTAATGTTCAGTCTGTTTACATCAGAGTAATGATGGCACAATACAGTTGAGCGTCGATTATCTGAAAGTCAATCATCTGAAACATCAGTCATCCGAAAGAATTCCAGTCGGCAAATTTAAATTTTCACTGGTTCTGCGGCACTGCAATCTTTGGCTATGTCTTGGGCTACTCAAATATTTTACGTTTTTGATATTAAATTAACTTCTGAAGTATAATTTTTTATTGTTTTTATATTTTTCAATCTATTTATTTTGTACAAACAAATAATTTTTAACGATACAATACTCTTTGTTAGGCTTAACATCAACGAAAATTCAACACGAAGTGACACACAATGGAGAAAAATGTCAAGATGGGATAAATTAATATATTTTTTCATACATAATTAGTTATCTGAAACATCGATCTTCCGAGCAACCCCAGTCCCCAATTGATTCGGATAATCGACGCTCTACTGTATTATCAAATATTGCTTCAGAAGAATTCTTTGGGCTTGGATGGAAAGGTTCACTTATTTAGTTCTGTATGATTATACCACTTGGCTAGAAGTCACTATGCACACGTGGTCTACACTGACTATCTTTCTAGGCCTGAGTCGTGGTTGCTTCCCACTCAGTCTCCCTCAGTAGATCTCTTCTCTCATTGGTGACAATCCAAAAGTGACTTTTCTTAACTCCCGTTTTTCCCAGGTTTTCCTCGGGCAGGACCCTTTCTTTACTTTTTTGTAATCTGGCCAATCAGGAAAGGTTTGAAGACAGAAGGAAGAAGAATTACAGGAAAGAAGAAAGGAGTTCCTATTCTATATACAACTATATACAAAAACAAACATGGCGGACAACCACATATGCATAATGTTTCATTATTCTATATCATGTTTTCATATATTGTTGTACAGTGTGTCATGTAACCCTTTCCTTTTACTCTGGTGTCCCTTTTCTCGGGTGCCATGATTGGAGCCTTGTAATTGGTCCGAGATAGTGTCACATGTAAGAGATCTACTTCTGAAGAGCAGAAAATATAAATTGAGGAATTTTTGTGTTTTTAGCTCTCTTGCTTATTGTACTCATCTAGAAGAATAGAAGGTGAGAGATCGGCAGGAGCATCCCAGCCAAACTGGGAGATGGTCACCATCAATGAAGGGACATCTTTGGCTGAATGTGAGCAATTTGTTTCCATTGTGCCGGAATAGTGTGTTATCAGTGAGGGAGATATGTTTTATGTCTTGGACCATTTTATGATTCAAAAGGACAATTAGTTGTAAAATATGAACATTTCATATGTACATGTTTTTGTTGTTTTTCAGGACCAATACATTATTATGAGATCTTTAAGGCTACTGTGTATAAGCAATGTATGGAGGAAAGGGAAGGTATAATTGTGTAAACCTATTGGTTCATGAGATATGTATTAGTTATATTCATGCAATTACAGTTGTGTGAATCATAGAATCGTGTTAATGTGCCACGTGTGCTGAATGCCACCACACATCATGTTGTAGAAACAAATAATTTGTTCTCTTTGTTAACCAAATACGTTGTTGGTGAATGCCCGAGTTCTTTTCATGTTACTTGCTTTTTATACTATGTGGATCTTGCTCTACAGGAGTTACTACAAATTTCTCTCTGGACATCTCCAAACAAATTTTCCTGCATCTTCACCACACCTAATGCATATAAAACTCTCATCTGAAAAAAATAACTATTTCCAATTTTTTACATTCTAATTTTTGTGCTGTCTTGACCATTTTAAACAATTGTTCTTCTGTTTCTTGATCAGAAAGGGGTTTGGTTTCACTTTGTGAATGAAAATCCCATGTCATTCAATCTAGTTTTTACTGTTCTGTCATAGACATTTGTTTGATTTTTCTCCCATTCCACATTCAATTGTTTGGAAGACATTTTTTTGATGTTCAAACATATGTTTTTCATTAGGTGATCTTCAGTCTTACTGGTTTTCAGGACAATTACTTCTAACACCATTTTCTATGTCTCCTGTATTTTTAAAATTTTTCCAAGTGTAATTTACAGTTCCTAACGATACACAAACACACATTGCAACTTCTGTTTTGTTTTTCCCATCTTGTAATATCTTTATAATATGCTTTCTCATATCATTGTGAGGTCAGCCGATTAGGGGTGAGGTGTTTTCGACAGCCGAGCGGTCAATTCTGTCGTGTGGGCGCGGAATGACTCACCGAGACAGGTTTCCCATATAAAACCATTTAATAATATACATAAATCGTTCTTACAACCATCCAATAAGTCGGGCAAGAGTCTATCCCACGATGGGTTTCTGTAACAATTCCCAAAAATCGGAAAGTTTGAATGTTTGATCGGTCCCTGGGGAGCTTTCGGCAATGTGGATGCAGAGAACGATGGCCCCAGGGCACGCACCAGCACTTGTAGTGATGTCCTCGGTTGACAAGTCGAACCTTGACGATTCTGGACGTGACCTCGGCGATCCTAGAGTGGACGGGTTGGCAAAACCAGTTCCTAGGTCGTCGAACAAGTCTTCGTTGAGTCTCGGTCAGGAGCACCAAATCCCAACAGGTGAGCACTACACACCAAAACCCAAGACCCCGTAAAGTTCCCGAAAATGTGGTTTTATCGATTTTTCCATCACGGTCGCCTCTCCATTGGTCTCTCCTCATCATATGGTGACAATTCGAAACCCCATGAAGGGCACGGGAGAGGTCAACGTCGCATCGGAACACGACTCCTCTCCAACCTCGTTTTCTTCGACTTTACTCTATCTATTGTTTAAAATCTTTTAACAAGACAAAAGGTTCGTTGTTTAAATTCGATTTTGTAAGTTCGCTTTTTCGCACTACGAAACTTGACTCATTTAAAAAGTCTTTAATAGCCTGCTTTCGGACCCCGTTTGGGTCCTCACATTATTAATAAATTTTTTGATTGGAACCATTGTTTAATTAAGCAAAGACAAGTAAAATATCACTGTTTTCTTACAAAATGATGCAAACACATCTCTTAAAGCTAATGGTTTCTTCCATTCAAATTAAAATGCTTAAATTTGTAAATTTAGAACAGCATTCAAAAACTTTTTGCCAGGGGTTATAATGTTAATGTGATTTGTTTTTATTATATATTAAATTATTTAGTTAGCATTTAAACAGTACAATATTGTTAAACAACAAAAGATATTCACTAGATTTAAATATTTGTTATTAATATTATTTAATAATTACAGATATCCTGTCTCAGGAAAGGTAAACACTCCTCAATTAAAAATAAATTGGTATGTATAATGATATTCTGCAAGTAAATATAATATTCAATAAATAAATACTAATGCAGTTTAACAAAATTTTGAATTTTCAAAATTTTGTTAAACTGCATTAGTATTTATTTATTGAATTTAGATAATAACCAATTTATATATTTTCCTTACATTATATTTTTGTAGCCTAAATCTAACCTAAAGCTAAATATATACTTATTTTACTACTTATTGAATACAAATTTAGACTTACAATTAGTAAAGAAAATCATTTCTTTTTTAGTATTATTCAAGCAGCACTTGGATGTTTAACAATTTCAGAACCATCTTTAAATCAAGATATGACAAAAATAATGAAGATAGGTCAAAGAATTAGTAAAGGTATTAGTAAAGTACAGAAGTTCATAAAGTTACTGTGCAGTGGGAAAAGTTTAAGTAAAGTTATAATTAAAATGAAGTTTTAGATGTGATATTGCAGTTTCTCCCACAGCAAATACTAGAAATGTCCCCCAGAGGCCACAAAATATGGGGGTAAGGTCCAGAAACCTAACAGACTAGATTTCACAAGAAATTATACAATCAGCAAAAAAGTCTTTCAAAAACTGTAGTCTAAAAACTAAGACATCTCTGTGCAAGCAGTAACATCATCTGCTGCAAAATGGAAATGTGGGCTATACAAATTACAGGTCTCATATGCAATGCCATATGTATAACTTTAATGTCATTACAAATTTATCATTGGACAGTAACATTTTGGACACCCTGTGTTATAAATTAATAAAGTAAACTATAAATGATCGAAATATTAGAAATTATAATTACTAATATTGTTAACAAACAAACTGATACTTCAATTGCATAGTGCAAAATAAATACAGTAGAGCATCGATTATCCGACTCAATTGGGGACTGGGGTTGGTCGGATAATTGAAAAGTCGGATGACCGAAAAGTATGAAAAAATTCATTATTAGTGTAGTATATTATTATATCCCATGTAATTAGTATATTAGTATATCGCTATTAACCTACTTTGCGTTGAATTTTCCTCCATGTTAAGCTTATCAAATTTTTTTTTTTAAATAATAATCGTCGCTATTGTATCATTAAAAATTAGAAAATTAAGCCTCGTTTAAATACTGGCTCCCTTTCATGGTCAATCCAGTGTTGCCAGCTAAAACACACAAAAATAATATTAAAGTAGCCAAGACATAGCCAAATATTGTAGCGCCACATCACTAGCAGACATTTGAATTTGCCGACTAGAACGTGGTCGGTTAACCGAGGTGACAGTTAATCGGGGATCGGATAATCGATGCTCTACTGTACATGTTTTGATTCAATTTCACCACTTTTAAAGTAAATATTTTTTTTTAAATCTATGCCTAAAATAATATAAATTTCAGTTTACAATATTATCTGTGTTTCCTTACATATATAAGTAACCAGTTCATAAAATTATGAAGAGAAATTTTAATTATGTATTCTAATTTGTAAAAAATTGCTTCTTCAATTTTTGCCATCAGTGAAATACTCACGTGACACACGTGGTGTGTCTGCAAAGTTGGGTGAATGTTAGAATAAAAAGAACAAAACAGTAGATATGTGGGAATTACTTTTGTTGGCCTTCAAAGTACTCTTCATGAGACACAACACACTTTTCATAAATGTTTGTAAAACTTCTGGAAACAGTTGTAAAAGTCTTGTTTGGGAACCACTTAAGAACTGCTGTTGTACAGGCTTGAATTGCAGAGACATCAGCTAAATGTGATCCCTTAATGACCCCTTTTAGATGAAGAAACAAAAAATGCCCACAGGTGCAAGATCGGGGAATATGATGGGTAATCCAAAATAGTCACACCATATCGAGCCAAATACTGGCACACACATATTGCACAATACACTGACACATTGTCATGCAGCAAAACTGATCTAGTCTCATAGAATTCTGGCCATTTGTGCTGAATGCACTACAACAAATGTTTCAGAACTGCCAGGTGGTATGTAGCAGTCATAGTTTGACCAGCAGGAACAAATTCCTTATGGATGATTCCATTTTGTCCAAAAATATCTAACCCAAACATGGCTTATCTTCTGATTCCTTACCATTACAAAAACATTTAAACTAGTTGTACTGTACATATATTTTCTGCTCATAGCATTGTTCCTGTGTACTTTGATCAAAATTTCAAGCATCTCCATCACTGTTTTTTATTATTTGATACAAAACTGCACATTGGCCATTGTTCCATTGTTCTTTGATGTACAGTACGCTTCATACAGAATGTACTCAAATGATTGCAACATAAGCCTACTTGCAGATGCACATATTACATGCTAGGAAGTGCTTATGGACATGTTCCATGCACATCCTCAAACTTATCACACACATGGTATTTAAGATATTCTAATGTTCACTGAACATATACCACTTATTCCGTTTAATTGCTTAAATAGCTTTAACATTGTAATTTATTATTAACCTAGGTTATAATAAATTATATTTCTTATCGTTTTATTTCCATCATTTTAATTTTCTCTTCTATAAAATCTGTAATAATTTTTTTTTCATGAGCTTGTATTTCATTAAAATTTGGTTCTCATATTAATGAATTTTAGACTTTTTAATGTATTTTATTCAATTACAAAAAGTACTGTATTTTACAATGTAAAAGCCTGGAGAAATATAAAGAAACTAAACACACTTTTCCAGCAATTAATGCTAATTAAAAAAAATGTTTTCAGCCTGATTGATAAGACTTTGTTGGGTTTTTAAATAGAGATTTTATTTTTTGGAACATAGTATACTTTGATGTAAATCACATTTTTTAAAATGCCTGGAGAAATCTAATTATTGTCTGAACATACAATAAAGTTAAGTATAATTTGTTTTAACATTACATTAAATTTTTTTCATAAACAGTTAATTATATAATGTTATAGCAGCATTGTGTTATAATAAAAATATAATGAAATCTGAGTGTTGTGTACCCTCATAAAATAGCAACAAATACTCATAAATAAATCTTCCATATAAATATTAAGTAGAAAACCATATAGTGTCTTTGAATTACCAAATACATAATTTAATGCTATTTCCAGAGGCAAACATATGACAATGTTTATATGAATTGTTTGACTGTATTGTATTTAAGTAGTATTATGATAAAATTTGAAATTAAAAAACTAATAAAAGATGATAACATTCTTTTTGAAAGAAGATATGTTATCATTTTAAATTATTGTAATTATGTTAATTATTATTTGAGAATATTGTAATGTAGATTAAAACATTGAAAAACTCTCCAAGTTTTATATTTGCCCATTACTGTTCTTCAATGTATGCATTACATGTCACATAGTACACATCCAACTGATATTCGAACTCTCCCTATGCTTGCTAAAGTATATTCTTTGTCACTCCTCCCACAGCGATTCTACAGCTCTTGCAGATTACTTGTTGCACAATAACAAGTGATTCCAAATTTGCAAACTACAGAACACAAAATGCCTTTGCTATTGCAGAGTTGCCATTTTCATTTATGGCATTTCCTAGATGTATTAGGCAACAAGACATTTGAATGCAGATGAGAAATAAAACTTGGACAGTTAGTTTATCAATTGGTGTATGTTGCATACTTCTCAAGTAAAAATTAATTTAATTACAGTAATTTGAAATGGTAGCATTTGTTTTGGAAGACCCTGTACTTATATTGATAGTAAGGATTATCTTAATCTAATAAAAATGTATTTATTTAATTAAAATATTTCACATTTGAATGATTTATTCTGTTGATAAATCGATTAATTAATGATTAGAACATTTATCCAAGGGGGTTCCATTTTCTGGTTCTGTTCATACATTTAAGAGAATATTATCATTATTTAAATTAATATTGTAGAATATTATTTTATTAATTATTAATAAAAAAATTAATTATCATACATTTTTTCAGGTTTAGCTGAATACTTATTTATAGAAATTAGAGGATTTAAAGCATTATTAAATGCCATTACTTTGGCAAAATGTTTTCATGCACGACTATGGGAAAATTCTAAGTATGTTTCAAGACAATTGGAAAAAATTGGTAAATGTTCAAATTTATTTATTATATATTAATATTAATAAATAAATTGTACCGAATTATACATATAAAATAATTATCTGAAAATTATTTAATAATTTAACATTATCAAAATTTATTTTGAAATCTTTGAATTAAGTATTTAGCAATACACTCAACACCTAGAAAATCCAGCACAAATATAACAAAATTTATTGATGAAAAAACATTTTCAATTACATTCAGTAGTTATCATCAAGTTCTGGAATGTTTGAAAATGAAATAGTAATTTCAATTTTTTTTTTTCTATTAATAGAAATAATGTAAAAATTTTATATAAAGAAAAAAATATGGTAAAAAGACATATTATGGAACATTATTGTTTAAAGAGTTGTGCAAATGTCATAAATTTGAATACTGGTACTGTAGACGACGCATGCTGGGATGGTTTAGTCCATTATAAAAGAGCACTTGCTGATTGGTATTTCTATCCATTGATGAGACCAGAACAAGGTGAAATGCATATGATTCATTAAAAAACGTAAAATAAATGTTTATTTCTTGATTGTTAGTAAGTCTCTTTTTAAATCTCTCAAAGTTGGAATAGAATGAGTTTTTTATTTACTTGTTAATTTGTCCTAAAAATGGTTTATTTTTAGAATTATAATATTTGGTGAAATATTTTGTATTTCATGTTATATATAATAATAAAATAAGTTATAAATGAAAGCATTTATTATTAGGTGCAGCTTTCTCTGATATACTAGTGAATGCTAATATAACCAGTTTTCAAGCTATAGAAGATACAAATCCTAGAGAATTAGAAATGGTAGTATTATTATTGTTTATTTACTTAAAAAATACTAATATATATATATATATATACCATATATACAGAAAATAATATATACATAGTTTTAAGCTTTAAAACTATAAATAGGCATACATACGTTTTGATAATAAATGAAATGAAATGAATTTATGACAAATCAAAAATTGTGTTATTTTATATAACAAATAACTTTTATATTTTTGTGGTATTACATTACAATATAACATAAATACTTTTATATTACAGTGGATGATCAGTTAACAAACAATTCGGACTATGAACAAATCAGATAACGAACACTTTCGTGAAAGATTTTTATGTTCAAATAATGAACATCTCACAGAACAAACACAAAAAGAAGCGATGTAAAATAATGAATACCAATTGGTGTCCCCTTGTCTTCATGCAACAATTTGAAATTTTTCAAAGTGTGGCAGATGTTGACATTGATGCTCAACCCAGTATATACTGATCAGATAGTATTTCTCCGAACTTTGAAACTCTCCTTTAAGATTCCAGCCTATTATTTTNTTGTTTATTTAACCTATATAGCAACAAACGTCAGTATTTCGAAATGTTGTATTCTTTTTGATGTAGTAGAAAAATCTCTAACAATGAGTTTTGTAGCTTTCCCGGCTGTTATAACTTTTATATAACAAATAACTTTTATATTTTTGTGGTATTACATTACAATATAACATAAATACTTTTATATTACAGTGGATGATCAGTTAACAAACAATTCGGACTATGAACAAATCAGATAACGAACACTTTCGTGAAAGATTTTTATGTTCAAATAATGAACATCTCACAGAACAAACACAAAAAGAAGCGATGTAAAATAATGAATACCAATTGGTGTCCCCTTGTCTTCATGCAACAATTTGAAATTTTTCAAAGTGTGGCAGATGTTGACATTGATGCTCAACCCAGTATATACTGATCAGATAGTATTTCTCCGAACTTTGAAACTCTCCTTTAAGATTCCAGCCTATTATTTTTTGGACAGAAAGAATTTTTTTATAGTATTTGCGAGACTGTTGGGTTTAAGTTTTGTGTTGTTTTTATTTTTGAAACATGAGAGTATAATAGCAAAGGTAGAGAGTGGACAGAAGATGTCTGATGTTGCTGGGTAGTATGGCTTGAACTGCAGTTCAAGCTTATCTAAAAAAGATACAGTGTAATCAAGAAGACTCGAGCAGCTAAATGAGTAACAAAAATCACATATGAGAAATAAAGAACTGTAGAATGCCCCCATCAGACAAAGTCTGCAGGGCTAGACAAAAACAATGGACAAGTTGGCTTGACAGATATACTAACTTTTAATTGATTCTTGTTGACACAGTTATGATATATACATAAAACGTGAACTATTACAAAATTGACAGATTTTACAATATTTAAGTAATAACAATATAATGCTTTACATGTTGCTCACTTTTTCCTCTCTTTTCTCCTCTTTTTTTTTTTTTTTGGGAGTCTCACGGCACAAAATAAAAAGGAGCAATAGAAGACACATAACAGAAAATACAAACTAATCTACTCATGACACTTTTTCTAATGCGTACAAACACTGGAAGAGAAAAACTAATACATTCAGATGAATCTCCCACTGATCTTCTTTCTCTTGAATATGTTGTATCTCGGAATAAAGTGTCCTTGATTGGATGCAAATGGATTGCTGTCTTTTTGGCCATACTTCCATCCTTGGTCCTGTCATGCTCGACACCTCAATCTCATATCCACACATGGCAAGTGGGAGCAAAAGGAAAAAGGTCCTACTACATGTGGGTCGCGACCTTTTATATTGTACCAAGCAGATATCCTCCTCACGTGACCTCCCCTGACCAATCCGGCTGTCAATACAAAGTGAACTGGGAAAAGATGGTACCACAAACGAAAACAAAAGTGTCAAGGGAAAAACCAAAACAACAAAACAAACAAAAAAAAAATAGTCGTGAAGCACTACAGAACGTTGAAAGAGCTCATAATGGAACCTGAAACTGATCTGACAGCAGAAAAATGCCAAGAACTCTTGAATGAAGAACACCAAGAAACTTAGTGAGATACGTTTTCTTCGGAAAAAGGAGATTAATGCCGACATCTGCTATTAAAGATGTTTTGAAAAAGTGGGAGGATGTCAGAACAATGGACTTAGAAGGGCATCCAAACCAGGATGAGGTTAATAGGCTTAGGGATCTCTACAATGACAATGCTATTAATTACTTCTGAAAAATCGTGAAGAAGGGAGAAAAGCAATCAACATTGGACAGATTCTTTAACACCCCACAAATAGAAAAAACATGACTGATAAAAATGCAAGACTGTGTATACAGTCATCTCCCCTATAACACGGTAGATACAGTAGACCCCCCTATAACGCTTAGATACGTTCCACATTAATCGAATTTTACATTGTAGGAATCATTAAATACATGAGCCAATCACAGCCCGACAGGTGGGAACTTTACGGACTAAGGCTGTTTGAAAGGTTTTCTTCTATAAAATTAACCGATTCTAGACTAATTCCACTCAACATTTCCAAAACACTTATAATTTGTTGGGAATAATCCATATAAACTGTGCTATAAACAAAAAATTGTAGGATTACTTACCGAGTGTGCACCGTTCAACTACACCGTTGCTCAAGCTTGTTTTCGTCGCGGAACAGCGCACGAAACGACGGGCGCAATTTCTGATAACCAATTTTTCGCAGAAAAATAATTTGACCTTTGGAGACATCATTAATATAAATAATTTTTATGGCCGTTGAATAAGAAATGTTTCTTTCACAAGAAATGTATAAAACTAGTGCTGTATTAGACTTACGGTACCTAATTTACATACTGTACAGACGATAATAAACTCAACTTACTAGCCTAAACTTTCCATAGCGTGGTGCTAGACGGTGGAAATTATATATATAATTATAATAAAATTACAATAAATTAAGTTAATATATAATTATATATACAGTACCTAATTTATATATAATAATATGTACAGTACCTAATTTATATATAATACTGTACAGACAATAGCAAACTCAATTTAACCGCCTAAACTCTCCATAGCGTGGCGCAGGGTGGAGGAAAGTAGTTCGGCTGCTCATCCACTATTGGTCCAGATTCTATCAATCTTGTCGCGACACGAGTTGGCGACGACGTTTTAGGAGTTCCTTTATATGAATATTGCTACAATTTTTTTGCTACGTTATAGGAATTTCCATTATAGGAACCCACGTTATAGGGGGGTCGACTGTACGTTCCGTTCTTTATGAAATTGATGTTCTAAGAGTCCTTAAGTACATGAGCCAATCACAGCCTGGCACATATGCAGTTTACAGACTATGACTGTTTGAAAGATTTTCTTCCATAAAATTAATCGATTCTAGACTAATTCAACTCAACATTTCCAAAATACATATAATTTTTTGGGAATAATCCATAAACTATGCTATAAACAAAAAATTGTAGGATTACTTACCAAGTGTGCACCGTTTAACGACACCATTGCTTAATCTTGTTTTTGTCGTGGAGCTTGTCATCAAATACCACTCACGTGCTTCCTGATAAATTATTTTTTTACAAAAAGTCCGCTGAACTTTGGAGACATCATTAATATAAATATAATTTTTATGGACGTTAAATAATAAATGGTTTATGGTAGATGCTCGTTTAAACTCAACGGTTTGTAAAATATCTGCTATTGGTCTAGATTTGACTAATCCTGTCACGACACAAGTCGACGATGACGTTTTACCGAATTTTACAAGTTTTTTTAGCGTGTGTGTACAAATTCTGTCGCAATTTTTTTGCTGTCATATAGGAATCCAAACTATATGAACTCATGTTATAGAGGGGTCAACTGTACATGTATTTTTATTATTAAATATAAATAAATGTAGTAAGAAAATATATAATTTTTAATTTTTGGGGATCTCCAGAATGGATTAATCAAATTCCCATAAAAATCTATGGTAACTTGATAATCAGTTAACGAACAATTTAGATAGCAAACACAGTCTTGGAATGGATTATGTTTGTTAACTAATCACCCACTGTACCTTTCTGAAAAATTCAAGCAATTATAATCTAAATTCAAGCAATCTAAAAAAATAAAATTATTTTATATAAGCAATTTATTTTCAGATTTTAAACAGAAACCCACCATTTGGAAGCTATATTCATGATGCAACATGTCATTTACCAAAATATGAAATATGTATTGAGCAGGTACTATATCTTTATGAATTTATATTTGAAATACCATATTTTCAATATAGTTTTATATTGAATATAAGCTTACATTTAAATATATATAAAAATAATTTAAAAAAAATTATTGTCTGTTATTTCACTATTTATATAAAATATTAAAATTATATAATTATTCCTAAATAAATAAAATTGTCAATTTATGGTGATTGCTATCCATATTATCATAAGAAATGGTATTTTTAGAATGTGTTAGTGTATAACTTATTACATTTTAATTGAAAAATTTTTAAATTCTTACTTTATCATTTTCATTGGTTTTTAAAAAAGTGAATATATGAGATTAAACGCATTGCAAAACATTATCAACAGAAAATCCAGAAATGTAGAAATCAACTTTCCAGTAGTAATCTTAAAATGTTAAACTTGAAATAAAAATAAAATAACTTTAATTTTGATAAAAAGAATATTTTATGTTAAAAAGTGTCTTGCCTGTATTAATTAATTGCAAGAACATAGTTACTTAGGACTACTAATGAACAGTCTTATTATACTCACAACATATTTAATTAACTTTTCCAAAATGCATTTCAGCCCTACTGGCCCTTCCCAATTGGATAACATACAAAAAACAGTCTATGGTGACTATGGTCAACACTACATTAAAACTTAGAAATACAATAATTACAAATTATTACTAGGATTATAAGTTATATCTAGGTCTGTAACAATACAATAATATACAAGTCCAGTAAAAAACCTTGGGAAAAGCTTTGTAATTGATAGCTTTGTCTTATTTGCAAGAAGAATTTTAAAAAATAATACAATTATTTTTTTCAATACAATTCTCTTAATTCACAGGATAAAAATTTGAATAATATAAGAATTCATTCCAGAGGAGCTAGCTTCTTTAAGCATCCTCAAAAAATTAAACCCATAGCATGGTATGAAATGTGTTGGATAACTATTCAGAATTATAATTCTCTTAATTCACAGGATAAAAATTTGAATAATATAAGAATTCATTCCAGAGGAGCTAGCTTCTTTAAGCATCCTCAAAAAATAGTCCTTTTATCTTTTTTATAATTATGGCTATTTTCTTTTTTTTCCCCCTTTAGAAAAAAAAAGAAAAGAAATTACAGAAGAAATTAAAGTATTATAATTCTGAATAGTTATCCAACACATTTCATACCATGCTATGGGTTTAATTTTTTGAGGATGCTTAAAGAAGCTAGCTCCTCTGGAATGAATTCTTATATTATTCAGATTTTTATCCTGTGATTTAAGAGAATTGTATTGAAGAAAATAATTGTATTATTTTTAAAATTCTTCTTGTAAATAAGGCAAAACCATCAATTACAAAAAATTTTTTTCATATAATTGAATTAAAAGAACAAGTGTTTTTTACAGTGGCATACTATGACATTTGATGATAGGGAAACTGTGTTTCTGTAAGTAGCCGACTTCAGGGGCAATCAGTTAATTGCGCATCAGTGATGGTGTAGGGTCCATTCGTATTCGTTTGTTTGATAAACCAGTAAAAACCATAGACTTCTCTAAACATATTTTTAATATCACAATTACATTCTGAATTGCTAGCCATTATATAGGCTAAAATAAAAAATAAAATTATAAAAACTTAAACTATACACTACTCGATTACTGGAATCCTGTAACTGACCCTTTCAAAACCTTTTTGTTTCCAGTAAGTTACAATGTCTATTTGAGTGAACAAACATTTTTGAATCTCCACCGAGTTCTGCTTCAGGTTCGATGGTGTTCCAAGTTTGGAGTGCTCGGAATTCAAATATGTAAATACCAGATAATTCAAAAGTTTGAAATTCTGATATGCGATATTTAGGGCACAGTCCTGAAACTATTGCTTTGGACAGATGTTATATGTATAAAATGACATTAATGCTGGGGATTGTTCTCATATGCATACTTCCATGCATATGATATTATGTCACTTGTCCTTATAATTTATGCAGTTTCCCATTCTGTCAGCCTTGTAAATCTCTAATTTTTCCAATGCTTTTATGTGATCAGTTTGGAATGATTTCCTTATGAGAATTGCATTCTCCGGGTCCACATATATATCTGGGTCCAATGCGTATATTGCCTGTGCTGTGATGTTCTAAACCTTGTCTATGTCAATTTATGTCGTTTTAGTCTTCTTTGCAATGATCTTTTCGTAGATCCTATGTATACTAAGTCTCTGTAAAACATATTATCTTTAATTGGTACTCCATACACTCCTGATGCTCACATATTACTCGGTTTGTCTTTATCATTCCTTAGTAGCTCGTATGATGTTTGGGTTCTTATGTATGCTAACTTGATCTCCTTCATATCCACTATTTCCTTATATATGTGGTGAAGGTTTCTATTGTATTGGACAACCTCGTGAATTGTATTAGTTTTCTGTTCTTGCTCTGGAATCCTGTTGGAACTTACCCCATTGACTTCAGGGCAGGTTGTTGTGTCTGTGGAGTGTTGATCCCAGGCTAACCTATGAATTATACTGCTCCTGTATCCATGAGCATCTGCTATCTCTTCCAGGTGTTTGAGCTCTTTGGTTATGTCTTCTCTGCCAGTGGTGTGTGTATATGCTTTTTTCCTCAGCAATCTTAACCCCTCAGTTCCTGATCAACTTTTAATTAATTATAATTAAACATAAAAAAATACTTCCAGGTGTTTGAGCTCTTTGGTTATGTCTTCTCTGCCAGTGGTGTGTGTATATGCTTTTTTCCTCAGCAATCTTAACCCCTCAGTTCCTGATCAACTTTTAATTAATTATAATTAAACATAAAAAAATACTTAAAACTGGAAAAAAAACGAAAGAAATGCATTAATTTTTAAGAAAAAGCTTCAAATTTTATTTTCCTTTGTCTCATCTTTCTGTGAAATTTGTTTACACAGCTGGATGACCTTGAGAATAGCTGGTGTCCTATTTCCCAGGACATTCTCATAGACGTCTCAGGAGGAGAAGGGTTTAAAGTAGGGTGAATACTAGCTAGACCTATATTTTTAAATATTTTTAAAAAATTAAATTTTTTATTGTGATGTTCGACCCCCCGACTTAATTAAACTTATATATAATAAAATATATTAATTAAAAAAATTTAAAAACTATTGGAGGTCGTTTTTGACATCAGAAAGTAGCTTTAAATAACTTTACTGAAGTCAAATCCGTGCACTAGAACTTTAGAACAATGAATGAAATTTGATAAAAAAATCACATTAAAAAACTATTAAGCGTTAATCGCGCGTCATTAAAGGTTGATTAAAATCGCGATAAATTTTTTTTGCGCGGGTAAAAATTTTTGAAAAAATTTGGAGACTTAAAAAACATCCCAAAAATAAAAAAAATTTTCGGGGGGGGCCGAAATTAAGGCCAAGTCTGCAACCTGGCATAGTCCTAAAGATGAACCTAGAGATAACATAACAAACCATGGCCCAACACAACCTTACTCACTTGAACACCAGCACCCTTCCAACCTACTCCTGTACAACAGGGTAAGTTGGATCGACCTAACGTTAGGAAATAGTTACATCACCCCTAGAGTCGACCACTGTTACGCTACCGACATAGATTCTGACAGTAACTATTGGTACAGTATGTCTTCACCCAACTAAACACTACTAGAATACTAATAATCATAGTTTTCACTATACTCGCACTAACTGACAATTATTCTGTG